AAAGACCAAGGAAAACTTAGACATGAATGCACTCAAAGAACTAACCCTAAACGGTTTCTTAGGTAGAGTTAACGTTCCAGAATGTATAAATAATGGATGATGATATATTGGTTGACCATCTGCGCCTAAAGGTGTTACTAGTACAGCACGCCATGGATGTTTACCATTACGCGATTGAAAAAATACAGTAGCTCTGTAACACAAGGGGTTCCCTTAAAAGAGTTACAATATTTCAAAGACCCTTTACCTGCACTTCGTATCCGGACGTGGAGGGGTATCTCCTTCAGTTATATCCGTCCATGCAATAAATGCACAGCCATAGCTAGGATGCTTCATAAATGCATGAAAAGAAGACTGATTCGGAGTATAATTTGATACCTAAAATTACTCAAATTGACTGAAGATCAAAGAAGTTCAGTAGCAATCGTTACCGTCCAGTTATCATCTGTACGAAGTAAAGAAGCATTTTGGGTACGTATTTCAGCATCATCACCATGAACCTACGAGAAACAGAAATGAGGGTACAATTTTAAATCAATCAGCTGATTCGCTTGCAATTGTAGCCATTGCTGTTATTCATCAACGGCATATTTGCCATTGGACACGGTATAAATTCGATTTTTAAGATTGGGTCCAACAGAAAGTTGCCAACATTACAAGATTTAAAAACTACAGTGCGATACTAATTGATCACCTCAACACGAGTCGCACTCCAAGGTACATCTTCAAAAGCGCCAGTCCATACAACTTCTATTTTCACGCAAGTCATAGCACGTAAGCCATGAATGAACTGCTGTGCAGGAACAAAAATACGTCCTTAATTAGGAAATCAATGATTCTCCTGCACTGGCCTCTCCATCAAGTACACAATCACAATGGTTATAAACTTACCAATTATATCGTTCCATAACCACGCGTTACGCGCATCCAATGAAACTCTATTAACAACAGCGTACAAACTCAACAATAGTTTCGATGAATCCATACGGTCGTCAATTACCTCATACAACTTAAAAGTAAATAATCAGATCCGCACTTCCTACCAACTACTATGCCCAAATAACAACAAAAAACAGTACGTTTACCCAAATTTTTGGATCATTGGAAAAGTCAAAATAAAAAGCTTACCAATCCAAGATTTTCAATTCTTCGCACAACCCAACAAGCACGTGAATCTGTATCCTGTCTAACAACATCGTAATTAACAAAAGTTCCTAGACTCATCCATGATCTTCGCAATGAAACCGGCAGACGTGCTATGCCAGATTGCTGCAACAGAACTGGGACTTAGTTAGCGC